TGGTGTAATCCTATAAAATAAGCAGTTATTAGTAAACCGACCATCCTACATTCCTCTCTCTTGTGTGGTCTGTTGACTCTTTTCCAAGAAAAGATGTTTCTGATTGTCGTGGATTCGCCTTCAAAGTGGATGGATGCATACCCAACAACTACCGCCACCTCTCAAATCACTATAGAAAAGCTCAGGCTAAGTTTTATTAGACAATGGACTTGCCCTGGACAGCACCCTTCCAACCACCTCTCAAATGGGTTCACGAAAAGAGTCGTGCAGACCTTCAAAGCTGGTCTCAAGAAAATAAAGGCAGAAACATTGAAGACAAGAGTATATGACAGTGGTAGGAAATATAAGGCCTGGCTGTGCAAGGTGGGCCACATGTGGCCTGATGTGCTGTTTAATCTGGCCAATGTCTTCATGATCAAAGGCCTCTGGTCTTAATTGTCAGGAAAATGTTGCATTATTCATGAAATACACTCAGTCCCCACTTATTCTAACCCTAACCCTAACTATATCTATATTCTCCATGCCAAGTATGAGCTCTTATCCTCAGGCATAAGATATAGGGGACCCCAATGTAAACTAAATATTTCTAAACTATAGGCCTGATTTAAACCTACCTCAATTAAAAATTTAAATAATGATGCTTGAGGCTGCAGCGGTTGTGCAATAGCTTCATGATATAATGCATATAGGGTTGTGTGTAGGTTGAAAGATGAGCAATAGACTGTGGCTTTGATGTGCTTCAGTCTGGCTACATATCACTTTGTTTATGTTGTTTAAAGTATATGCCGGATGTATGATAAAATAATATGTTAAGTGTTATGTGTAAAGCATTTGAACTCAAGGCAAAAATCCCTCTGGGGACAATAAAGGAGGATATCACCTGCAAAGTGGTCTTCATGATATGTAAAAATTAAAACGTTGTCGTGGGACTATAGCAAGCACATCATTGGAAAGGTCTCAACCTCGACAGTAACATTATGTCAGTCTGAAGAGGATACATTACTCCTGATTTGAATTATTGACCTCTGCTCTGAACCTTGAACCCAGTACATGTATGAAGGCTTGTCATTTAGCAACAGAACGTGCAACACACATAGGACCAGCTGTTATAGAAAGCTCTGGACCTTAGCTGTCATGCAGATATGGTCTCCAATGTTTAACCACTGTAAGCACTGTAAAATATGTTAATAAGCTATTTTGACCTATTTAACAATTAAAATTTTAAAATCTGATGACACCAGTGTGTTCCCCATCCCCGCAAAAACAGGGTATATGCAAAATTCCACTAGACACACCACAGAACACAGTTACAAAGCTAGTGTTACTTGTAGTTCTTCCGGGCTGGGTGGGTGGACTCGTTCGGCTCCTGTTTTTCTGCTGTCTGCTGTGGATGGGCTTCAACTACACTCAAAAAGTTCAAAACTGAGCAGTGTTGTTGCTTGTGACAAAACCACTGATTAACTATGTACATTGAAGCTATACTGGCGTTAAAGACCCCCTGACCTGCATTGCGGTATATGGGATTCGCATGTGACCCGCTCGGCCCACATTGTAGTGTTCTGTCTTACAGCATACTGTAATGTTTCACCAATAGTCAGACTGAAATGATATTATTAAAATAATGTAATGAATACCATGATAACATCTAAATAAATGCTGGTAGATGTAGCATTATAGTTTTAAAAATATCAATAAACAAAGCAATCTAGCTTCCCTGGCAATAAGACAGGAATATTAACATTAAAAGAAATACATATAAACCATATGATCTCGTGAATAAATGTTATCTGTGTATCCATGTAAGATGTATCTAGGAGATGGAGGAAACTGTCATGATGAAATGTCTTCTTCCCCCTAGTACAGACACTACTTAAGACGACACACCACATTTTAGGCATTTATTAGCTTATACAAACACAAAAACAACACACATAGCTCAGACACATAACAAAAATCACAAATGTAAAAAGTGAAGAGCATGTCAAGTGATTACAAAGGCCTGGTAGGGACTGACCCTGTGATACATGATGGGCAGCTATGGAGTGATGTGCAGTAGTGGTAGTGCAAAAGTAAACAGTGCAGGGATTTAATCAGTGCAAAGCTTTGCATGTTAAATATGACTATGGAAAAAAGAGTGAGAGCATAATAGTATTGCGTAACAAAAACAATACAAAGAAGATAAAATAAATAGAACAACAGAAACTTAAATATATATATAAAAAAGAAAAAAAGATTATACAAGCCAACAGGGGTAAATGTTGGGACCACAGTCCAGAATGTGTAGAGGGGCTAATGTAGCCTGTAAGACAGTCCAATAAACAAAGTGATGTGATGGTTGGTGCAGGGTGAGACTCATGCTGAAAAGTCCATTCCTCCCCTAACCTTTTCTGTGACATTGAGTTTCTGGTTTGCCCTGGGGACAAAGGACCTCCTCAATGTTGAGCATGACAGAAGACTGCTACTGCAAATTATCCTCAGTTTGTTAAATGATCAAATCCAGCTCCATGCAAACACAGAGCCAGCTTTCCTTACCAACCTGTCCCAGCGGCACTCTTCTTAATGCTGCCTCCCCAGCAGACAACAGCATAAAAAAGGACTCTGGCCATGTTTAATCTTGGTCAGAGTCACTACTGGTATGGTATTCCTCAGAATTACTATCAAAGTTAATTTCTGTTTCAGTCAGAACTTGAACATAACATTTCTTTGCATGTTTTGCCAGGCTGTTGCTTGCTTCCTTGTTCTTCATCGTCAAGCTCTGTAGACCTCGGATACCATCTTGAAGCAGGCCCCAAGTCTCACCTTACATGTTAAAACACATTGAGCCTTTATTAATTAGAAACATTCAGAAATATTGTAATGTATGCCAAGTATAACAAATACATACCTGATGTCACATTAGAAAGCTGGGATGACATCTGCTTCAGGGTGTCTGCACGGGTGCAAAGAGACTTCCAATGCTTGTTCATCTCTGCAATAAGAATCCTCTTCTCCTCCTCAAGTCTCCTTACTGCCATCACAATGTCGAACGCCTTCCTCTTTGTCCTTAGATCTACAGAGTCATAAATGAAACATAAGTTGGTTGTATTTAAGATTAGTATTTAAAGAATTTCTGGGGTTACAATCGAGGCATGACAGATTTTGTGCCACTATGTTACTATTTCACATAGTCAACGGAATTGTGTACATACCACCGTGTGTAAGCTGCCATGGCCAAACAATCTCGTCAGATAAAATGGTGTCCAATGTCAGTTTTTCTGCATTAGGAACCAAGGTGTTATACTTTTCCACTACAGAATTTAAGATTTTTTTTTCCTCCCTGATCTTTCGGCGGATTCGGGCACGTCCTTTGCATCCGTCACTATCCTTATAAAGACGCTGGGACCTCCTCTTAACACTTGCCACCAGCTCCTCAATTCGGCTGGCAACAGCGGCAACATCAGCATCATTTGGGGATGTTGTTGCTGAGAGGAAGAAATGGAGAGATCAGAAATATGCTTCTTGATTCCATGAAAAAATATTATTTCTGGTGTATGAGCAAAATAAAGCCTCAACAATCTTTTCATATTTCTCTGTAACTGAGAGGTTACACTTGTAGCTAAGGTTGAGTATAGTTAGGTTAGTTAGGTTCTTTATTGTCTCCATGGGGATAATCTTGTCCACACGTCATCAGCAATCAGAGTATGTGCTCTTTGACTACGATTACAATGAGCCTCTTTGGAATTGCAGTCAAGATAAGTCAGTGATACATCAAGCACCATAGGTAAAGGTATAAAACAGTATAAAACAGTATATCCTACCTTCTGCCCACTCATTGATATCAATGAAGCTCTCCAGTTGATTGTCTGAGATGTCCATTTCCGTTTTCATGGCCTCCAGGTTATGCAACTGGCATTGCAGGGCTATTGTGGCCTTCAAACATAAATGACAATGAGGGAAATGCCTACCACTTTGACTATTGTTGATAAGGATTGTGAAGTACCTTCACTATTTGAAAACCACATACAACACTAATTAAATATACAGTATATTCGTATATACGTATTCGTATATATCAATATATGTGGTATGAACATTCAATATTTTGTATCAAGGCACTAAAAAATACAATTGACACTACACATGCAACCATCCGTATATTTAATATATATATAAGAATATCTGGGCAAGTCTTCTCTATATTTTTGTGATATATGCCATTTTATTTTACAATATCGCTATGCATTTTGTATAAGCGAAAACTGGTGTCTTTACCTTCCGATATCGGCGGGCAAGGGTAGAAGCCAAGTTGTCACATTTTTGTTGGTTCCAGCGCATGGCCATGATCGTCAGCATGTCTATGCGTCCTGCAAAAATAAAAAAATATGAGATTATCACCCTTCTTTCCAGTAGCAGTAGGAGAAGAAACTGTGCAGACTTGAATCAAAAACGTTTCAGAGATAATAACTTACAGTACAGTACTATGGTACTAATCTGCTGTCTTGTGCCATTTGATTACTGTCCCATGAAAGGGTTAGGTAAATAGCACAGGATAGTGAAGAAATAGCATGAAACAGTGGCGCAGGACAGTAGTCGAATGGCATAGAGCACTATGGCAGGACAGTAGGTGAATGGTACTCTGATGTGTAATTTTTATATCGCACTGCCTTTCCTTATTATCCTCACGTCAAATAAAATAGGATGATGGTATTGTAATTGATCCATCCATTTGTGTTGAATATTCTGAGCTTTATATTTTCAGAGTCAGCATATATGCATGAGCTCAAAGTGGCTCACCCATGTCATCAGGATCAAAATTTACTGGTTACCTTACCTGCTTTTGACATGTGCTTTGTCGTAACAGCAATCCTTGAGAGGAAGGCGTTGCACTGCTCCACCTCTTCCCCAAGAGTCGAACCAGCCCCCTCCTGATATGCTCCACTCCATTTTACCTTTAAAAAAAAAGAAAAGATAAAAAACCTAAGTGGCAACAATCTTATGCAGGATTTCAGGGAAAGAAAATGTCATGGACAATCATTTTCTCTTACCTCGCATTTGAAATCATGAGCTTTGGCATGAAAAACAGAAAGAAATGGCCTCATGGTGAGGAGATCCTGAAGCTCAGGGCATTTCTCTGTCACTCTCCGGAGGTAAGGCCAGTACTTGCATGCCACATCCATTGCAAAAAATGTAACTGTCTTACAGGCCATTTGCTTTTGGAGGTACAGGGGGTAAGCAAAAATCTCCCCCCTGAACATATTGAGGGCACGAAGGAGAACCCCATGACGACATACAGCGAGTTCCAGGCCCTCCTCGTCTGTTTTTCCTGAGGACTTCTGAGACGTTTCACGCGCCGCTGACCATTGCCCTCCACAGACACCTCTTCCAGAGACCTAAAACATGGAAGATGGTTAACAGTCCAAACTTGTTCAAACAAAGTCCTCTGTAGGACGTGGTGTTTTATAGGTAAATATAGTGAAGTTGTGCAAGTTTACATGACTGGTTGAGGTATGGACATAGTCCACGAATCTTGCGACGTCATCATCATTCGCAATGAACACGCCATCAAAGATGGCTTTTTCCTCCGATCTGAATAAAAGAGATACATATTAACTTTAAATATTCATATGATTTTCAATTCACAGCAGTTAATTTCAAAGTAATGGACTGTCAATGCACACACAGTACCTTGCTGCACTCTTGAATCTGTAGTGCTTACGGTTTCCATCAACGGATACTGCAAGCATGTCTGGGCTGCACGCTGGGCAGTCAAAGTGGTCCACCTGGCATAAATTGTCCACTTCGAATCGGACAGCTTCCCACTCCAAGAAGCTTTTCCGGAAGCTGTCCGCTGTGATGTTTCCACTCTGTTTCAAAGAAGAGTTCAGTAAAAGATAACAAAAGAGAACAGTAAAACGGATCAAATTAAACAATATACTACACTGAAGTAAAATGTTCTAAATGGAGACATTTTAGGATGTTTGTACTAACTTCGTAAACACTCCTTAGAATACATATCAAAGTAAATAAACAATGTGTAGACTTCACTCATACACTATACACTGGTGTATTGGGGGGACCTGGCCATTAAAAATACAGGATATTGTTTGACATTCAGTCTAAATCTATATGCAAAGAGGGCTACAACAGCTTCCATATTGTTTAGAAGTAAGCCTGTGCAATGTTTGGCCCATTAATCCAAGGGATCACTTCTGGGATCAGGAAATGATATTGGGGAGAAGATGTCAAAGTCTGTAGCCAATGGAGTTGAAGTTGAGATCTTCAGAATGACCTGTTTTTTCAGAAATGTCTCAGTGCAAACTGCTGATGAGAGACCATGAGTTTATGGTTGTTTATAAAGGGTCTAAATTTAACAACTTTTTTTCCTAAACAGTGCAAATGTTCATGTGTACTATCATCATCATCATGCCCTCATAGTATTATTTATGGAGTTACACAATTATTACCACAAATACTTACACGGCCAAAGCGAACGGTTGATCCAGCATTCTAAGAAACGCTTGGCTAGACATCCCTGGTGCTGCCATCTTCAGGTCTTCAAAAAAAAAAAGGACATCTGTTGCGTACACAGTTGAATAGTGAGAAGTGGCAGGCCAGTAGTCATTGCGGATCAGGTCATCCACTCCAGGACTCCAAGTGGCTTCACATGCTTTGCATCTCATCTGAGGCAATCTGAGATCATATCGCCCTGGAAAAAGAAGGAAATATATACACGAAGTTAATTCTGACAGACCAAACTGTGTCATTCTGACAACTGAAATGGGAACCTTTGACTAAGGATGGATCAGGAGGACACTTCTACAAACATTTTGTAAGGCACTCTATTGGAAGTCACACTTTTGTCAGGCAAATTAACTGTGTTCAAACAAAGGTTAATTGTTTTCCTCCACATAGGTGGGCCCAGCCAATCTAATCAACACACAACCTATTGACACCTCTGGATTTCCAGCCATGATAAAGAAAATGTATTGCACAATGTAAAATGTATGAATGTAACATATTCATGATTCGTATATGTGCATAATTGTGACGAAAAGTGAGAGGGAGTATATACGAGGTGTGATCAGCAAATAGCTGTGGGTGAAATTCTGCAGCCACTTCTACAGAAGTGACCCCCACCCAAACCCATAAAGTTCTTCTTACCATTCATTGTAACCACAACTATGGACTGTCCTGCGATGACACTGGACGATACTCGTAGACAACCGCATATTGTCTCTGGCATCTCCAAAGGTACAAGACGCTCTTGAAAAAAAACAAAAAAAACACATGGATGAGAATTAAAGAATAACATTTATTTACTGGCAACTATTTTAAACAAGATGTACTTGACGGCTTCATCGACCTATCAGAAAATAGTATTTCGTTTATCAGTCAAGTCTAAGAATGTGACTTTTAAAAACTTACCACACTGGGTTAGAACTCTCTCCACAACACAATTTGTGGGAGCCAATGGATGAAAAAATGCATGTGTCATCGAATCCCTGTTGTGGAACACTTGACCTCGATGGACCCTGACATCACACTGGCCACAGAGGAATGGGTGTGGTCGGCAGTCAGAACAACGGATAACGGCTGGACCATTTCCACAATGTTGGCAGATCCGAGTTGCCGCATGTTGTCGAGCCACCATGGTGTTGACCAGTCGGGGTCTCTCTTTCTCCCACCACCCTGATATGAGGCTCTTTCGGGTCGACCAGTCTGTTGAGGCTTGAAGTGCCGTTTCATCCTCATGTATGTCCTCACCCAGTGAGCTTTTAAGCTCTAGAAGGAAGGACTCTGTTAAAACAATGCAAAATATTTAAAAACAGTAGTTTATGTTAACAAAAGAGAATAGCATTGAACAATGGCCATTTTATAATAAATGAACATACAGTTTTGAACCAGTGAAGTCAAAATAAATAACACACCTGCAGTAACGGAAAGAAAGTCACTGGTCATTTCCGCACTGGTTTCCGGAGCCCTGACATGAGAGACACCAGTCTTTCGACTCTGGCTGTGACTGGGACCTGCTGTAGCAAAAAAGCTGTTGCTTTTTACACTCAATGACACAAACTTTACCTGATGCTAGGCACAGGTACGTAATAATAACCTCAGATATGTTCTAATTCAGACCCATGACTTGAGATCATATTGTATACCATTCCAAGATGCAAAACTAGATCTGGAGTCTACATTTTAATTAACACGAATGTTAAAAAAAAAAATCATACCTGCTTGTTTCCGGGATGATCTGGGCCTGCCGTAAATAATGTTTCCATCACTGTCCCTCTTAATCCACCTAACATCTTGCTTGCTGTTTGATGACCGACTGGTGGATGGATTACTGGTGGAAGGCTGACTGGTGGATGGTTCTGCTTCCTGGTGCATGCTAATGAGCTGTTTGAGGTGAGCTTGATGTCAGCCTGATCGACAAGGTCACTCATCTCATTCAGGAGACGGTCCATCTCAGGATCAGACATGGCACAAAATATAAACACACAGGGACAAAAAAAAAGACAAAACAAACAAACAAACAAACAAAAACCTCACTCAGAGGGGAGGGAGGAAGAGGGGGGGGAGGGAGAGACAGTAAGACAGCAAGAGAGAGAGAGAGAGAGAGAACACAATACAACAGTAGAGAGAGTAAAGATACAAGACAAATGTGGCTCTTAAAAGTGCCTTTTTTTCGATGTAATGAGGTGCTGGTTTTTTTAAAGGACAGGGATTAAGGAACCTACAGAGAAAGAGAAGAACAAATAAAAAAATAATAGATCACCAAACTACATATTACAATATGAATAACTAGGCTACTAGGCTAAGAATAACTACTAGGCTAAGAAGTTAAGTAAATGCTGCTCTTGTTCATTCATGAAATCACAATTATAAAAAAGGTCATTGTGTGAGCAAGGGTTCATGATATTTTGAACACATCCTTGTTCTGCCTTAATTCAAATGGATAAACAAACAGGAATAACATGATCAGGGTACTTGTCTAAACTTTGCCTTGCCAGACTTAAACTTTATATATATATATATATATATATATATATATATATATATATATATATATATATATATATATATATATATATATATATATCCCCCAATAATCATATAATATTATTTATGAGTATTTCACACAAAAACATGGTGTGTATATATGTATAGCCATAGGCCTACATCATTTTTATTTTATTTTATTAAACTCGTAATTTTTTTTATTTTGGACGTGTAAATGCTTATTCATTTATATTGCTTTTTAGACTGTTGTAGGTTGTAAGCGACTTACCGTGGTGGAATCGCGCTGGGCAATAGTTTCTGCGATGGTCGCATATAGTGACGTGTGCACAAAATTGCGCCAAAATATCAATCATAATGAAAACGTACAGTCTTAATATTTTATATACTTGCTCAAAATTTTAAAGGGGTCAGCATAAATGCCTAAGTGAAAGAAACACGGGTGTATGTAGCCATTACATTTAAACACATCACTTCCCAGAATGCATCCATCTCTTTGCCAAAGGATATGTCCATATTAAGCAATAAACATTTCTGCAGTAGACTATAACAACCTCATAATCAGTATTGAGATGAAAGTTCTATAAAAGTAGGCTATTTTTTTTTGTGCAAAAAAAGCAAAGTTGTAGGCCTACTGTTGTAGGCTCACTAAAGCCATTGCAAATTGAAATACCATCGACAATTATAAAATATCCCACCTAAATTAAGGCATGTTTTAAGCCCACAGCAAGTAGGCCTATGCAGTCCTGCAATTATGTCGTTTTAATGTAGCCCAAAATTATATAAAAAAAGAGAAAAATGTCGGGATACCGATTTAGACAATGGTTTCTGCCCCACGAAAATGTATGGTCACCGCACCAATGAATGATTATAACAGTAGGCCTATACGCTAACTGTTACTGCAAAATACACATTTGCAGCATAAAATTAATCGCCTGAAACCATAATTTCCAGTGCAGGCAAACCGCTGGATGGATAACCCCATTTCGTCAAAATCCAAAGATGAGGGATTTGCACTCAAATCTATCGGACGACCCCTCTACGTTATCAAGCGACGAATAGAGGGTACCCTCAACGTTGGCTTATGGACGTGAGGGGGAAATGACCAAACGGCGGCAGTATGTTATCGAAAATTATTAAATATCCCACCTAAATTAAGGCATGTTTTAAGCATACAGCAAATATACAGTCCTGTAATTATGCCATTTTAATGTAGGCCAAAACTATATAAAAAATCGAGAAAAAAAAATCATGATACCGATTTAGACAAGGGTTTCTGCCCCACGAAAATGGTCACCGCACCAATGATTGTAACAGTAGCCTATATGCGCCACACACTACTGCAAAATACACATTTGCAGCATAAAATTAATCGCCTGAAACCATAATTTCCAGCGCAGGCAAACCGCTGGATGGATATCCCCATTTCGTCAAAATTCAAAGATGAGGGATTTGCACTCAAATGTCGGACGACCCCTCTACGTTATCAAGCGACGAATAGGGGGTACCCTCAACGTCGGCTTATGGACGTGAGGGGGAAATGACCAAACAGCAGCTATCTAAAATGACAAAATATCCCACCGAAATTAAGGCATGTTTTAAGCATACATCAAATATCCTGTAAATATGTCATTTTAATTTAGCCCAAAATATATTAAAAAAAGAGAGAAAAATGTCGGGATACCGATTTAGACAATGGTTTCTGCCCCATGGATAACCCCATTTCGTCAAAATCCAAAGATGAGGGATTTGCACTCAAATCTATCGGACGACCCCTCTACGTTATCAAGCGACGAATAGAGGGTACCCTCAACGTTGGCTTATGGACGTGAGGGGGAAATGACCAAACGGCGGCAGTATGTTATCGAAATTTTTTTAATATCCCACCTAAATTAAGGCATGTTTTAAGCATACAGCAAATATACAGTCCTGTAATTATGCCATTTTAATGTAGGCCAAAATTATATAAAAAGAGAGAAAAAAAGTCGTGATACCGATTTAGACAAGGGTTTCTGCCCCACGAAAATGGTCACCGCACCAATGATTGTAACAGTAGCCTATATGCGCCGCACGCTACTACAAAATACACATTTGCAGCATAAAATTAATAGCCTAAAACCATCCTTTCCAGCGCAGGCAAACCGCTGGACGGATATAACCCATTTCGTCAAAATTCAAAGATGAGGGATTTGCACTCAAATCGATCGGACGACCCTCTACGTTATCAAGCGACGAATAGGGGGTACCCTCAACGTCGGCTTATGGACGTGAGGGGGAAATGACCAAACAGCAGCTATCTAAAATGACAAAATATCCCACCGAAATTAAGGCATGTTTTAAGCATACATCAAATATCCTGTAAATATGTCATTTTAATTTAGCCCAAAATATATTAAAAAAAGAGAGAAAAATGTCGGGATACCGATTTAGACAATGGTTTCTGCCCCATGGATAACCCCATTTCGTCAAAATCCAAAGATGAGGGATTTGCACTCAAATCTATCGGACGACCCCTCTACGTTATCAAGCGACGAATAGAGGGTACCCTCAACGTTGGCTTATGGACGTGAGGGGGAAATGACCAAACGGCGGCAGTATGTTATCGAAATTTTTTTAATATCCCACCTAAATTAAGGCATGTTTTAAGCATACAGCAAATATACAGTCCTGTAATTATGCCATTTTAATGTAGGCCAAAATTATATAAAAAGAGAGAAAAAAAGTCGTGATACCGATTTAGACAAGGGTTTCTGCCCCACGAAAATGGTCACCGCACCAATGATTGTAACAGTAGCCTATATGCGCCGCACGCTACTACAAAATACACATTTGCAGCATAAAATTAATAGCCTAAAACCATCCTTTCCAGCGCAGGCAAACCGCTGGACGGATATAACCCATTTCGTCAAAATTCAAAGATGAGGGATTTGCACTCAAATCGATCGGACGACCCTCTACGTTATCAAGCGACGAATAGGGGGTACCCTCAACGTCGGCATATGGACGTGAGGGGGTAATGACCAAACGGCAGTATGTGACGAATAGGGGTGAGACCGTGTTGTTTGAATAGATAACGTTAACGTGGTATAGAATGAGTTATTTTTCAGGAACATAAAATTGCACTTTATAGTTTAAGAGTACAGTTTATTTATCTTAATTTCAACCATAAAATAAAACTTACCTCTTAACAGACGAAATCCACTCCCGAGTCCCTTCGTCAGCGTGATTGAAGAGGGAAATCCCGTGCAAGTTACCGCGACGACAGACCGCGCATGCGCAACAACAGGAAGTTAAACGGTCGAAATTATAAATCAAAATTTTAAGTTTTCTCAACTTAATTGTTTGTGTTCATTGGACAAAATAGTAGTGCACTTGCAGTTAAAACGTTTTTATAAGTAAACTCAACCCAGACAGCAAGCTAACATTGAATAAACATTGTTTTTCCATCTGAATCATCATTATGGTTGATGTTGAAATTTCAATGCAAAATAAATGTTGAATCACCATTACCATATCGATGAAAACCTGATGTTATTAATGTTGATGGCAACAATATTGGAACAACATTGATCTATAGTTAACTTTATGATTGATTAAGCATTGATATTTGGTTTACCGGGCGATCGCTGAATGTGTTGAAAAGTCATCGGCATATAGTTGACCGGGAAAAATGATTGAAAATGCATCGATATATAGTTGACAGGGAGATCAACACCAACGTACTGCACCGGACACAGCTCATTTCTGGACCTTAAAAGCGTACAGGTAAGCTTGCTTAATGTTTGATATGAATGAATTGTACCAAATCAAATACTGTTAGGTTGATCGTTAACATGATGGTTAATGTAGTAACCGACGCAGTGCTGCAGTCACTGAAATGGATTTTTGTTTTACCAATGTGTCAAAATCTGCCAAAAGCTTGATCTCTTCTAGGTTATAAAGTTAGCAAAACCTCGTTGGTCCAGTCTATTTTTGTGACAGCTAGCTCAAAATACATGTCTGTACCAAATTGCTAGTGTCGTGAAATCTATTAACACAGCACCGCTATTTCTTCTGACCGCCGGAGAACACCGCGCGAAACCAACGCTAGCATAGTGCTCTATCTCTAGCTAGCTAGCGCTACTCACAGCAGTGACCGCGGCGGGCCAGAATTACACAAAAGACATGGTTTACCTTTACTTTATTCAATGCTTAGCCCCACATACTTCATTTAGAAGCAATTAAAATGCCTCGTTAATTTTAAAGACATAGCCTTATTATTAGCCTGTTTTTGCGGTGAGATTTAGGCCTATGCATATTCCTCCATGCAGCAGTAGTTTTTAATGTTAAGCAGAAATTAATGTACAATTTAGTCAACAGAAAAATATTTTGTCTATGGTAACTCTAATCAATACATCTACTATTTAATCAGTTATACGTATCCAGTTATTTATATTTAATTTGTTGAGTTAACAATTAGTTCTGATTTAATAAAATAATAAACATGATTTGTTGGCCTCATAAATTGTCCTTATGAAAGATGTCACTGCAAGCTAATCCTTTTTGCCTCCCTTTAATTCGAATACATCCATGAACATATTGGACAGTTTTGAAAAGTGCTTTGAATGTAGTCCGTCTTATAGGCCTGCAGCCTCAACAAAAAGTGTTTCTACCCAGAAATATAAAATGATTTACCTATGAAATGGCAAGATGAGAGAGGGGGTAAAATCTTTGCGTGGCAGGTGGAGCTTCCACTCGACCAGTCACGGATATATTCCATTCAGACATTATAGCACATGTGACAGAAAATTACGTGATATATCTTGTACTTTAATATAGTGAACGAGTCCATTATTCATGAATAAAAATTGTTCAGTCTTTAGAAAAACCTTTGCAAGCCCTGTTTAAAAGACATTTTTGTTATCATCTGCTTTGTGGGGAAATAATCAGGGCAGTGGATGATTCTGAATTAAATTGCTGTTTACTTTCTAGATGCCTTGACTCAACGTCTTACAACGGCAAACACCTATGACTTCGCTGAAGCTGTACAGAAGTGGCTGCGCTACGCCCCAGACCGAGCAGGAGGAGCTGGAAGACAGACGCAGCAGGAGTTAGCACGTTAAAAGAAAAAAAATGAAATAATACAATAAAAATTATTGTTTAATTTTTAAAGAATGAAGAAAAATGTGCCCACTCAACTTAAAATTTTAAACTAAGTTAACAATTTGCAAGTTGGATTTTTTACAGTGTAGGATAAATTATTTACGACAGTGGTAATGGACAATTCCGCTTCCAACCTGTAGGGCGACTGCAGAGGAAAAGTCACTGCTGCTTTAAACGGGAGCTTGAAAAGGGCCCGATTCAAAACTTGCAGGTCCAAGATTGGCTGTAATCCACCGCCTTTCTAGGATACAATGAAGCAAGGGCTGTAGAAGCCTGACTTCATATCGGCTGGAGGGACCAGTGCGATCTTGTCCTTCGCCAGTAGGACTGCAGTCTCGGCCCATAAGAACTTGTGAACTGAATCGTATAGCAGAGTCTGATGGTCCGAATGAGCCAATAAGATGGGCTGGGGGTAGAGGTCTGCTACCCGACCCGAGCCAGACGGGTCCCGAAAAACTCACCGGTTTCGGATTAATGTTAAATGAATAGCCTTGGCTTCAGGTCTGGTTCAAGTTTGTAACTAAGACCCAACTGTTGGCGATAGGAGAGGGGGATGAGAGTGGCAAGGCACAGCATCACACACTGCCTTCTGCGCCCTCTTGTGACCCTGAGATAAAGGAAGCTGCTCTTCTATTGATAAACAATAGGCAAAAATATGAAAATACAGAGAATATTATGTGTCTACAATCTACAAATTAGCCATGATGCAGCAAAAACTGTACAACAATGAAGGAGTGACAAAATATCAAGAGTGCAAAATAGACACAAACCCCCACACACATATGAACTGGTGTGACTGTCACACAAAGCAAGTTTTTGCCAATGCGTGAAATAAACGAAAAGTTATTCAATATAAACCAAAAATCACAATATTTCAAAAGCAAAAAAAAAGTGTTGACAGCTGGAGAGGAGAGAGAGAAAATGGCTTCAGAGATTTCCTTACAAAATAACATGTGCCATGTTTGGACATTTAGTTAATTTTAAGACTGGAAAAACTGGAAAAGGGTCTACTCTCTGAGAGAACAAAGGAAAGTAACATTTGAACTCACTCCTGTGAAGTTAGCGTCACCATTCGAGATGCAAGTCTCACCTCATCCTAATCTACATTTCTTTCCCTCCCCCCCCAAATTCACCCAAAAATGTATCTGATTTAAATGTGAACAATTATCACACAGTTTTATACGTTTTGTATCATTTGAAATGTCTCAGTGCGACTGGTACAAATGTCTCATTCCCAAAAAAGGTCAACCAAAAGATAATAGTTTTATAATAAGAGTTTAGAGATAACTTGCACATAGAGGAGGGTGTGTCTTCCAGACAAATGGCATCCTGCTCTCAAAAGGTGTAAACTCTGAATGCAAATTCCCATTGTTAGCACATATTTCCATGCGAAAAGAAGTTTCTGTCTATATAATGAAATGCAACGAGAGGCTCTGCGCGATTCTGTAACCCAGTTTAGCCCTTGATGTGAAGTGTAAGCGAAACACTTGGCATCATGTATTTATAATGTCAAGGTTCACATCTTCTCTCTTTATTCCAGAGCAGTTGATGTTTTGTATCCATTATCTTTGAACTGATTATGAAATTGGCAGATACATTTACCTGACATAATAAATTGTAAACATTTGATTTTATACTGACTGATATTATTTTTAGTAGAGTTAAAAAGAATAGTCAAACATTCGCTCACATTTAATGATGCACAGATATCATTAAAACCTTTTCATTTATGGAGTTAGATGAAATAACGAGGAAATGCATATACATTTTTTTTTAATCAAATTACTTAGCCATGAGGAAAGGCAGTAACGCACAGAGACCTTCACCCGTTATCGGAAACCGCCTTTGGGCCGATCAAAACGGGCTTACATTATTATGTAGAATTGCACAATATAATATTAAATCATATTATGTAAAATGTCATAGTAGATTTGAAAAGCAAAAGCAAAGTATTAAAAGTTATTACAAGTTATTATTAAAAGTTAACACATTGTGTTAATTAGAAAATATAGAATGGCCATTCAAATGTAACTGATGAATATTTTTTTATTTTTTTAACATAACTCACAAATATAATATTTAATTATAGTTGATGTTTTGTTAATTTCTTTTAGCACATTTTGTGTATCACATATTGTAAGTAAAAACTTCTTGATTGTGGTTTGTGCAAATTCTTTTCTTTCTTTTTTTAAAATATAAAAATTTATAGCAGTAATTTAAAATAGATTTGTTTTTAATTTTAACTGACAGGAGTGATGATCAGTGGGTTTGAGTTTTTACCTTTACCATTGGGGCATGGGTTAAAAAATGGATAGAGTTTGTCAGTGAAAGTCTGAGCAGTGAAAGAGTAGAGATGAGATCTGGACTCCACGTCATAAAAAGAGACCAGACCCTCCTCATAATCCACAAACACACCAACCTTCTCAGGTTTCACTCTCAGAGATAAAGAGACAGATGAATTTTCACAAGCAAAATATTCATTTTCATTCCTCAAAATCACAGTCCAGACTCCATTATCAGGACTCAGTCTGATCGTCCCCTTCCTGTTAATGGATTCTCTGATCACTCCTAAATCCCACTTAGTCTTTCCCTTCACCTGCACCTCATAGTAAAATCTCCCTGAACTGAATCCCTGCTTTGCCAGAACACAGCAAACCACATCAAATCTCTTTGGGTTTTTTGGGACGTCCTGCTCAATGTCTCCACAACTGACTTGTTTTCCATCATCAGACAGGTTGAGATATGGATTCGCTGTATCAGGATCCAGAGTCACATCCACTGAGAGAGATCAGACATTATCAATCAACTTATGTACAGTATAAAATACAGATTATTAACAGTATTGTTGTGTTGTGTATTGAAGAAAATGGTGTCAGTCACACTATACCTGCATAGTTCTGTACAAACTTCAACCCTGTGGACACAGATGACAACATAATGATGAATTATTTATAGCAGTAATTTCAGGTTAACAGTGAGTTTCTCTCTATCGGCAGCATCAGTGGCATGTAAATGCTGCTCGTCCCCCAGTTTGTAAAATAAAATGCAGAATGCGTTTACAGTAAACATACTGTAATGGAGGTCTATGAAACAAACATTGAGGATTTAATAGAATGTGAAGCTTGTACTTTTTATGAAAGCTCTTCTATTAATAATTCAGTAAAAATGTGTTATTTGAGCTGTAAAGTGTCTAAATTGTCCTTGTGAGGTGGCAAACTTTTTTTTAGACATTATGTATTTTTACAGTTTGTACACAGAGTTGCATCCTTTTCTTGCCGTTAAAGTAATACTGCTTTAACATGAGTTTACATGGACAGAACTTTACATAGACAGGGTAAGTTGTGTTATGATTACATTTTTGAAACAGTGTGATCCTTTACAAACTGAGTTTAAATTGGATTTAATCAACCCTCGAGCAGGATTCGTACTGGAGTGTTGGGAAAGAAGCCGGGCGAGCTAACAAGACGCTTAAGACTACAGTGAGGTATACACACACAGCGCCTACTGGCCTACGTTACAAAAACACTGCTTGTTTCACATGAATAAAAACGGACTTGCACGTGCCTGTATGTATGCCAATGTAATCGTCTTTACCTTGATTACAATTGTCATCCATCAAAACTTTACTGGTGTGCTTGTTTGCTTTATTCAGACCATACAGACTAGCTTTGACTTTAGCAGTGTTTTGTTTGGGTTGATAGAGAAAATCACCATTTTGGACAAGATTTGAGGACGCTGTTTTGCTAAATTTTGTGTCATCTTTAAATGTTCACAACAACTGGCTAAACTGCTACATAAACCCGGCTCCTGTGGGTGATTTGTCTAGCGCCCCAGAGCTGAACTTGAGACATGCGGACAGGCAGAGTGGACATATAGGAAAAGCTTATATTTTCCACAGATGATTTTCTATCATATCATATCATGGACATATCAATTTACATAATTTGTTCTGAATTCTCCATGTTTAGCATAATAACGGAGATGCGCACAGAATCAGCGCTGTACGTCACTGAATAGTGCGCAACCAGTCTGAGAATAAGCGTAGCGCTATAGAGTTGCACCAGCCGTTCTGACTGGAAAGTTCGCAGGATTGCTTGCATTATAAGGACATTGTACGAGTAACGGACAAGTAAGTCCAGTGTTATTTGAACATTAATGTTATATTGCAAGTGTATTTGTTGTAGATAGTGTTTCTAAGTTTATTCGTCTATATTAAAGTGGCTGTTTTGCCGCACGTGAATTGGACGTTGTATTATATGCCGTCAATCCTTTGAAGTTTGAATAGCGATCGTTATAACTTGTATAAGGAATATTTTGCGCAATGATATTTTATGCCAAGTTTCTCATTTATATCTACAATGTAACACTTACGTGATTTATGTTGATTGTTATTTTCTTTCCATTGTTTTAGAAAACCTTGCACAAGTCTATCTATGTTGATGCCAAAGCAATCATTAAAAGGCTACCATCTATCCATGACTCTGAGTTATCTAACAAGAACACTGTGGCGGTCAGTGCGCATTGAACTAGCTATATCCAAAATCTAACATAATTTATTATTATTGTTTTGTGTGTGTGGCTCAGGAAGGGCGGTGCCCTAGCCCCCTTTATTGACCAGCCGCCACTTAACCCATAATATTCCTTGAAAAAATTTATTTCTTTGTTAATGACAAAAATATACTGTGTTTGATATTCACATACCTGTTGGACTGAGTTTTTCCATTATTGTATCTAGAGTTTTCTTCAGTTGAGCAAGAGCTCTATACATAGAGTTCACACCAGAGTCAATCCTGATCTCAGTCCAGTTCTTGGTGTGGGGACGACTGTACAAGGATGAGCTCATCTACAGCAGGAAAGACAAGACTATTAAATATGTTATTAATTTATATTTCAAGTTAGTATATTTTACACAATACCTTTCTAACACAGTTAACTAATTTTTCAAATTGGACTTTATTACTGGGGTAACTTAGTATAAAAAAACAAGAGAGAGGAATGCAGGAGTGACTGTGCATATTTTTAGGATTACACCAGCATGACCTGACTATCCAACAGGACAGAACATTTTACTGCAACAGGTAATTCCCACACAACACAAGCATATTCACCCCCTAGCGGTAACAACTGGAATGGCTAGAATTGTACTCAGTCTACTACATCTCTCCCCCTTAAAGCTAAAACATTCCCAAACATGTCAACTGTCAATTTGCCTTTTTTCTTTTTTTTTTATACCAGATAATCTTGCTGAATTGTCTAACAAAATCTTTCAGATATCTTGGTTCACGTTTTTACTCTGGGTGACCTCCTTGTGGTCAACAACACTGGTAGAAGAGCATCTGCTTTCCACGCCTTTTGAAATTGTTCAGTATCAGCCTCAGGCTCTTCTTGTGACACTGGTTACAGTCATTTCTGTTCCCCTGGCTCTACAGATACATTGCTCACAGGCTGTCAAAATTAATTTGCAGAATCCGGAACAGTGTCTCCTGCAAACCTGATCAACATGCCTTTTCCAGGTCTGTCCTGTTACTGTCAAGGCAACATAAGACAGCAGACTGGTACAACTTTCGACGACAGTAGGAATCCATTGTGGCCCGTAGCTATAATTTCTCACATACACAGAATCACCCACTCAAAAAGTCAGCAGGTCAACACTGCTGTCATGGTCTTCTTTCTGTTTGAGTGATTTCTTTAGCACTTTGGCTGCTAGGTTCGGTAGAAGCAAATAAAAAGTTGATCTTAAACGTCGGCAAGGGACAAACCAGTTGTAGTTTGTGGCGTAATCCTATAAGTGAACAGGAATCTACACACTCTTGTCTCCAAAGTTTCTGCCTTTATTTTCTTGAGACCAGCTTTAAAGGCCTGCACGACTCTTTTCGTGAACCCATTTGAGGGGGGTTGGAAGGGTGCTGTCCAGGGCAGGTCCATTGTCTGATACCAACATCCTTGGCATGCCGAATACGCCAAAACTTTGCCTGAGCTTTTCTATAGTGATTTGAGAGGTAGTGGTAGTTGTTGGGTGGATTGGGTACATCCATCCACTTTGAAGGCGAATCCACGACAATCGGAAACATCTTTCCTTGGGAAAGAGTCAACAGACCACACGAGAGAGAGGAATGTAGGAGGGTTGGGTTTACAAATAACAGCTTATTTTACAGGATTACACCAGCATGACCTGACTACCCAACAGGACAGAACATTCCACTGCAACAGGTAATTCCCACACAACACAAGCATATTCACCCCCTAGCGGTAACGTGGAAAGTGGAACGGCTAGACTTGTACTCAGTATACTACAATTGCTGTTTCAGTTTCTTTTGTTTAGTTTCTAAAAGACTGATACAAATACAATGGTCAAGCAGCTCATCAGGTTTGTGAACAGAGAGTTTGTCCTGTAATATTGTACATGATGACTGATGAGAGATGTTGACAGACCTGTATGAGATGGAGATGATCGTCAGTGTGTGAGAGCTGCTTCAGCTCAGTGATTTCCTGCTGCAGCTCTTTAATGAGATCTTCAGTCTGTTTCTCTGCTGCTTTCTGCTGTCCCTCTATCATCTCCATCCGATCAGACCGACATCTCTCAATGTAGCCAATCAGAACATTGAAAATCATATCACTGGGGGATTTATCTTTCTCTGTGTTTTTCTGATAAATGAGAACAATTAGAAGGTTAATCTATTAAGTTTTATCTATTTAATTGAGAACCTTTATGAAGCTGATTGAAATATTATAATGCATTATCAATTTTACGTTTTAACCTCCACTCACCTTTCCCAGCTCTACTGAGTGCTGGATCTCTTGAATCTTCTTTATTCTGTCCTGGATCATCTGACAAACGGCAGTCTACATACAGAGAAACACAAATAACTTCTGAAAGACAAAATTAATTCAAAATTCTGTGGCGTTTAGTACATGTCTTTGAGGATAAATTTTTTTTTCTAAAAGTAAAAAAAAAACTATTGGCAGTTTAAAGGTAGGGCAGGCAATTTCAGAGTGGCTAGCATTAGAAAGCTAGCTTTGAAAGCATCAGATCCCACCCTTCCTTCATTGTGTCTCCAATGCATCAGATGAGAGACTGCGTTAAATTACCTTATGTCTCAAAGCACATCACATTACAATAATAATGAATATAAATAACTTTTAGAGCTCTTACTTGTTCCACCTGACTGCTGTAGATTCATTTCGACATTGATACTGTTAACATAGAAACGCATAAATCTGCTCAGGGTAGAACGTCACGGGTTGCCATCTCTTAATTACGGTTACGACTGTCACATCCACCAGCTGTAGTGCCCTTAATCTCCACCAGAGGGCACTCCTCCTGACTCCTGGGCTTTTCCATTATGAACTTCACTTCCCAGTATCCAATGACTGTTCATGATTGTGTAATTTTGTTTAGCGGTGTGTGATTACCCTTGTTAAAGTCTGCCTATCTAAGCCCTGTATTTTCATTCTCACTTTGCATAATCTTGTTTTGTGTTACGCAGCTATTTTGAGCTCCTGTAACCTGGTTTCCTTTGTCTTGGATATCCTTGTTTGCCTGTGTTTTTGGACTCTATCGTACATTTGGATTGTTTGCTCTATGGTTTTGACCCCATGCCTGTTATATGGATTATGATTCTGGATTGTCCCAATAAAGCTGCATTTGGATCGTCAACCCAACTCTCGGAGAAGTTTGTGACAGAAGACTACTAAATGGATCCACCAGTGAGAATTATGCATCTCCGACAAGGAAGGCGCAGCATCAAGGACCATGTACTGGACATTGAGTAGGCTCACTTAACCAACATGAACAAGATTCCCCAAATTATCTTTTTGGGGGGCGGGTTCTCTGAGCCACTCAATGTAATTATGCTGCTACATGACCCAGACTGGACTTTGGCACATTATACTGATTTGTCATTGCAGCTGAGCGGTTCTCCTTTTAATGTGGAGGAGGAGGAACCTTCTACTAAACTTTTCACTTACCGTTTTAACACAACTTTGATTCAGCAAGTCTGATGATCCCAGGTCCAGTACTCACAGCGCTTCTGAGTCCAGTGGTCCCAAATCTCCAGCCGACATCGACGCTCCACCTAAAGCTATAAAGGTGGTCCTTAGGCGTTTGAGACTGGCTTCCAGTTTGGCGGACCTACCGTTGATGTCGATGCGAGCAGTTGACATCTTAGTGGTCCTGACATCGTCCTTTAGTCTAGTACATCGAAATCCGGTGGTATCGAGTCTGGAGGTCTCAGAGGTTCTCCCACCATTGATTGCACTCCCAGTTACAGCGATAGTGATTCTATGTGTCTGAGCCATGAAGGCTTCTTCAGTTTCTCCAGAAGTGGCGGTACCTGACCTAATTTTATCTGAGGATGCAACTACTGTTCTTGAACTCTCAGTATGTCCTGCTATGGTCAAGGAGATCAATGAGGAAGTCTCTGCTTCATCGTCTGTCTGTGAACTGTCTGGCTGTCCTGCTATGACCACAGTGGTTGCCTGTGAAAGCCCTGTCTACCTAGATACGACCAAAGTGGTTGTCCCTGAGCTTTCTGTCTGTCCTGTCACGACCAGGGATGTCGCATTCAAAAACTGCTTGCTTTGGTAATTACTGACCTTTCTGCCTGTTTTAACAAACGTTCTGGTTGATCTTCTATAGGGATCATCTGACCAGTCTGATCTGCGCTGGTGGCCTTCTGCTCCGCCGTTGTGGTCACCAGCTATGTCTTGGTGGTCTTCAGGGGGAGGCTATGTCACATCCGCTAGCTAAAGTATTCTTAATCTCCATCAGAGGGCACTTGTCCTGACTCTTAGGCTTTTTTCTATTATTAACTTAATTTTATGGTATCCATTGTCTGTTCCCATGATTGTGTGATTTCGTACAGCTGTGTGTGATACCCTTGTTAAAGTCTTCCTATGTTTTCATTCGCATTCTTTGCGTAGTCTTGTTTTGTGTTGCACTGTTTTGAGCGCCCGTACCTCTGTTCTTCTTTGTTTTTCTTTGTTTTTGGAGTTTATCATAGATTTGGATCGTTTGCTCTATGGTTTTGAGTCCATGTCTGTCATATGGATTACGATTCTGGATTGTCCCAATAAAGCTGTTAAAGCAGTTCGTGACAGAAAACGACATCACTAAATGGATCCAGCAGTGGATCTAGCTGGTTGTTTTGGTTCAGGATGAACTGTAAAAGGCGACTGCTGTTTGTTTGCGGTGCAATATTGAGTTTACAACCGATGTACGCTCAACAGCTAGAGAATACCCATAGTGCACTGTGACTATCACGCTGGATGAATTCCCATGTCTTGATGGGATGAATCAAATGATTTTGAACACACCCTGTGGTTCTACAACTCTGGATAGTCTTACAGAACACAATGTCAAAGTGCGATGTTTGCGTGAGCAGGGTGCGGGCAGGTATGGAAATATATATACTGTATATATATAGTATATATATATGTGTCATATCAGACCAAATGCAATGATTAGAAAAACATTTTTCGGTCTTGAGACTTTCACAAAAGATATTTGTCGGTTTGACAAATAATAGTTATTTGACAAAAAATAGTTGGATAAAGTCCAAATAAACATCCAAACTATTAAGAATGAAATCTAGAATTCTTTCACAGCATGTATAGTTGAATGAAACACTTCAGCCATCTACTGGCCATTATTGTCATAACAGGATTTGGGCCTGACATGAAAGTCTTGTTGTTCTTTTTTCACCAGATGGCAGAAATGTTTACATTTATAGAAGTGTAGATTTATACTGTAGTTAAGGTCCAAAAATTGTATTTGATACTGAAATAAAGAAATTTAAATAAGATCTATGAACTAAATTACCTAAAATCCCCCAAAAGTGCATAATTTTATTGTTACTACACTGTAAACTTTACTATAAATTTCAATTGCTGACTTAATTTTTTTTAGCATATTCAAATCGCTGAACAAGTAACTTTAACTTATATTATATTAAACTGACTTTAAAAAATCGAGTTGAATCTTGTATAACTTAAAAGTTGAAATTGTTTAAAATATTTTGAGGAGTAAACATTATGTAAAAACATAACTTGCCGTGACCTACTGATCATATTTTTTACAGTGTGCTTTAAGGAATTCAGTTTTATAACACCTAAAAAAAACAAGTTACACTCGCAGTTAAAAAATAACAAGGAAGAGCCCATGTGTCTTCCTTATAAGGTTATTAAGCTTATAAGGGTTAAAGTGTTTAGTTTTTAATTTTTACCTTCTTCTCTCGACTCTCCTCCTCTATAGGAACAGTGTTGTGAGTCCTGTGTTCTCCTTCAGTGCAGGACAGACAAACACACGTCTGATCATCTCTACAGAACAGCTCCAGAGGTCTCTCGTGTTTCTGGCATATATAATCCTCCAGATTTTCCACAGCGTTGATCAGTGTGTGTTTCTTTAGACGCGGGACTCTGTGATGAGGCTCCAGATGAGAGTCACAGTAAAAGCTTTGACACGTCAGGCAGGTCTTCACAGCTTTCTGCTTTCTTTCATCACAGATGTCACAGAACACTGGAGGATCACGGGAGGACGCCATGGCTGACAAAACAAATGACAATATAACATCTACATTGCTGAATAGAGCAACTTTTATATTAATAGTTCCCTTTCGATACGGTTCACTCGCATTGCGTCAGTTTCTAATGCGTATAGGGAAACTTCTTTTTCTCCGAATACTGAAGCCTGATTGGTTCACGGCTGTGCTTTGCACAGACAAATGGCTTTTCAGCCAACCGAAGTGGGCGGGCCGACTGCATTTAAGTCGCGCTAAAAGGCATTTCAGTCAGAATTTCTCTCCTTCAGCCTCTTTCGCTAAGACCAGACTCCTGGCTGGCTCTGACAATAAGACATGACAGCAAGGGCGGGGAGAGCATTTGTGCTTATAAAACTTAAACTTTTATATTTATTTTTGAAATGGCCGATCGTTTCGCTAGATAAGACCCTTATTCATCGTCTGGTATCGTTTAAAGCCCTTTGAAGCTGCACTGAAACTGTCATTTGGACCTTGAACCATTTGGGTCCTGTTGAAGTCCATTATATGGACAAAAATCCTGGAATGTTTTCATCAAAAACCTTAATTTCTTTTCGACTGAAGAAAGAAAGACATGGGCATCTTGGATGACATGGGGGTGAGTAAATTATCAGCAAAAGTTTTTTCAAAAGTGAACTAATCCTTTAAGCTGATGTTTTGATTCAACATCTAACTAGTAGGGGTGTAACGATTCACGTATTCGTATTGAACCGTTCGGCATGAGGCTTTCGGTTTGGTACGCATTACAAACCGAACGATTCGTTTGCCATTTGATGTTGCGCCACGTTGTGGTGGTTTTTGGTCGGCAGAAAAAATGGTCCAACAAATCGTTCTTTTGCCTGACGAGGCATAAGATACAACTAAGAAAATAAAATGTATTCAGAAAATTTGAATTCAAATTTTGATCAATATGGCCTGCAATTAAAAAATTGATTTGATTTATATCAGTTAATTACTGCTATTCAAAATGTGTTTTCCTTTATCTTTACAAATGTATCTTTTTAGTAGAATAAAGTATGTTGGTGAATGTTTTGCAGTGTAGTTAATATATGACATATTTCTGTTCAAACCATTAACGGATCTGTCAGGTTTCCGATACGTTTCCCCAATGTTAAACTCATTCCTACGCCCCTGCATGACAGGATTCTAAGTTTAGGATCTTTCTGTAATGCACCCCAGAACTTATGCTCACTGAGTAATTTAGTTTGCGTTTTCAAAAAGTGAATGTTGTATAGTTAAAAAGTATTCAAACAACTTAAACTATGAACCACTGTCAAGCTGTCAAAGCAGCCATTCATGCCATAAGCAGGCATATGAGCAGGGGCGGATGGTGTATGGGGCGATGCACTACCAACTGGGAGAAAGAGGATTTTTTTTGACAAATTCTATCACAGCAAAAGTAGTTTTCAGTGTTCTAGACATATTATCTGTCATTGTCCAATCAGATTCGTCAGATTCAAGTCACGTTTCAAATGGTCGCGCCCGCGACTCCGCCTCTCTGGGCGAATTCATTGACGTGGAAAATCGCCCAAGCAATCTCCCATTGACTCTCATGTTAAAACTTTTTTTTTTCTGAAAATGAGCCTTCAATGAAAGAATGAATGAGACACATACCCATGTATTTTTAGAGTTAGATGAAGTTTTTGATGAGCACCTGAAAAACGCCACAGTGTTCAAGGGCACATCCAAGACGGTGCAGAACGAGCTTTTAGAATGTATGCTAGCGGTCGCGCGGGAAAGGATTGTGGAGGAGGTCAAGTCAGCTGGCTATCTGCCCATCCAAGCAGATGAAACTACGGACGTCTCCACGCAGACAGAGCTGGTTCTTATGCTTAGATGCATTGATGACAACCATGCAGTGCAGGAAAGTTTTTTTTGAGTTTATTCCTATCTCGGATTCAACGTCAGTTTCAATTGCCAGTGTGCTTTTGGAGAGACTGAACCAGCTTTTGGCCGACGACAACGACAAAATGAAACTCGTTGCACAAGCTTACGATGGTGCCAGTGTGATGAGGGGAGAGAAGGCTGGTGTGCAGCAAAAGGTGCGTGAACATTTTAAGAATGCCCATTATGTGCACTGCTATGCACATCAGCTTAATTTGATCATGCAGCAAGCTACCTCCCACATCAAAAAAGTTAACGTTTTCTTTTCCGATCTGAGCGGTATTGCGTCTTTCTTTTCCCGGTCACCGAAACGGTGCAGCGTTCTGGACAAGATTGTTTCACGAAGACTGCCCAGAGCTTCATCTACAAGGTGGAATTTTAACAGCAGGATCGTCAACACTGTGTACGAGAACCGAGATGACCTCCTTGAATGTTTTGAAGCCATCAAGACGGGTTCACATGGTCCATTTGACCAGCTCAGCGTGAGAGAAGCATCTGGCTACGTGAGAATGCTACAGGACGAAGATTTTGTTTATTTTTGTGTTTTTTTCACAAGATCATGCCCCACGTCGATATTCTGTACCAAAATGTCGACGTGGGGCTGTTTGAAGAATGTTTGAAAGGCAAAGCTCAAGACGGAACTGTCTCTGATCTATGAGAATCCTGAATTCAAGGCTTGCTGTGGTGCACTGGCACTGTACCAGGTTATCATGAGCTTCAACCTCCAGGAGACATTCTCTGAGACTGTGAGTTTGTTGAACATTCTCATAACTACTCCTAATTTACCTAATTTAGTTAACATTAATTATTTCAACATACCTTTATGTTGCCGTTTCATCTCTTCCTCTGGTTTCTTCTTTTTTCCTTTTTCTTCACCAGTGGGGGAATGCGTCCTTTTTTGTGACATGACAGTTTTGCTGCTGCCTCTATCATTCGCAGTCCTTTCTGAAAACATTGCTGTTTGATTAAGCTTCCTGTTCATCAGTTTAGTTTTACTTTCTGATGTCATATAGTTCCACCCATAATCATAAATATGGAACAGTTGGTACTTTTATCCCTGCTGAGTGTGTAAACAGTGTAAGAAACTTATAGAATATCATGTTATCACAGTGAAATCTTCTGATATTTTCTTAGGTCTTGTAAAAATGGTAAGTCATGTAGTGATGTTACAGCTCCACCTATTAAGCAAGTAAGTCTACTGATTAGGGCTGAAACGATATGCGATATGAAACCGAAATCGCGACACTCAGATCCACGAATCTGTCGCGGTTAGGGCTGTCACGATGTTAGATTTTTCACACCACGGTTATTGTGGCCAAAATAATTCACGATATCGATATATCGCGATATCTATGGATTAGTGGAATTGCACTAGCATGGTTTAAATCATACTTAACTGACCGTTATCAGTTTGTAGCAGTAAATGAAGAGATGTCTTATCGATCACAAGTTCAGTATGGCGTACCACAAGGCTCAGTACTAGGACCGTTGCTGTTCACTCTGTACATGCTACCATTAGGAGATATCATTAGGAAACATGGAGTTAGCTTTCACTGTTATGCCGATGATACTCAGCTGTATATTTCTTCAAAACCCAACGAAACTTACCAATTCACTAAATTAACGGAATGCATAGCTGATATAAAAAATTGGATGACTAGTAATTTCCTACTACTAAATTCTGAAAAGACAGAGATTCTAATTATTGGACAAAAAACTTCCACACGTAATAGCCTAGAATACTGTCTAACACTTGATGGCTGCTCTGTCAAGTCTTCGTCGTCGGTTAGGAACCTGGGTGTGCTATTTGATACCAACCTTTCTTTTGAAAGCCACGTGTCTAGTATCTGTAAAACTGCATTTTTCCATCTTAAAAATATATCTAAAATACGCCATATGCTCTCATTGGGAAATGCGGAACAATTAGTTCATGCGTTCATGACCTCAAGGCTAGATTATTGTAACGCTCTACTGGGTGGTTTCCCTGCACGCTTAATAAACAAACTACAGCTAGTTCAAAATGCAGCAGCTCGAGTTCTTACCAGAACCAGGAAATATGACCATATTAGCCCGGTTCTGTCAACACTGCATTGGCTCCCTATTAAACATCGTATACATTTTAAAATATTGTTGATTACTTACAAAGCACTAAATGGTTTAGCTCCGCAGTACTTGAGCGAGCTCTTAACGCATTATAGTCCTTCACGTCTATTGCGATCTCAAAACTCCGGCCAGTTGATAATACCTAGAATATCTAAATCGACTGCAGGCGGTAGATCCTTTTCCTATTTAGCACCAAAACTTTGGAACAGTCTTCCTACCATTGTCCGGGAAGCAGACACACTCTGTCAGTTCAAAGCTAGACTAAAAACACATCTCTTTGACCTAGCATACACATAATACATTATAGACTTCTATACTTCAATGTTAGGCTGCATAGATTAGGTCAGCCGGAACTGGGAACACATCCCTTAAATCTTGATGTACTCGTTACATCATAAGAAGAATGGCATCTATGCTAATATTATATTAGTGTCTTTGTTTATCCCGAGGTTTTCCCGCAGCCTGCCGGATCCAGGCCGTATCCAGATCTGACGAAGGAGATCCGCCTGGACCCGATGACAATGCAGTGCTGAAGTATCCACTATCCTCTCCCTATGGAGGATCCCTTTCCCACTCTACAGATAAAGCGTTGTGAATTTCGGCTCGCGTACCCCGAAGTGATAAAATAAAACAAAATTCTGTATCAAAATTTATAGGCAAGACAAGTAGTTTGTTTAGGCATGGGTTGTTATCAGTCAAATTAAGTTTTACTTTGTTTATATAGTTTTTCTTTTTTACCCAGCAAACATAAGGGTACAAACAAAAAAATCAAGTGCAAATACAAAAATAAGATGGTTCTTAATAATCACCCTTTATTAAGTCTATGAACACAGAAACCCCCTGTTAATGTCACGTTTCCCATTCCATGGCTAGTAAAATAATCGCAATGTATTCTCTGTAAAAATGCGTAATCCGCAGGGTGATGGACACGGAGATGGGTAAAAAGGTTGGTGGCTACATATTCTGCAGCGCCGCGTCGAGGTATCGCACACCGGACGTGCACTTTCTCAGTTTATGGCCAGCAGTATTCTTATGTTTAAGGAGATTATGAAATTAAGATAATGTCTGTAGGCCTACTATGTTATGATTGTACTGTACAATCACAAGCTCCAGAAGAAGGACATTGATGCAGTCTTCATCAAAAGGGCCCTCGAGAGCTTCACAAGCAGTGTGCAGACCATTAACATTTATATTATTCGATCCTTCTCAAAGCAGAGTTGTTATGAGAACAGATGCGTGAAAGGAGTATTTGTGTTCTTTTTTTTAATAATATGTGTTCTTTTTTATAATATATTGCCAGTGGAGTAATCTAGCTTGTTTTACTCTGTGCTGGACTTCCTGGTTAGTTGAGGCACAATGGATAGCTTAAAAAAACAGTTTTTAACAATAACATTATGCATCCCTGCCCATTTTAACCCTCTGATGGTCTTCAAAAAAAGTGACACTCGTGGTCTTTGGGTCTATTTGACAATAACATTTAATTTTGTAACAGAACAATATATATATTTTTAACAAATATAATTTTACTCTGTTTATTAATGTTTTTACTCAACATTTGTAATAGAAATTTAAAAAATATCATAAATCCTCCAAAAACTGTACAAATGTTGAGTTAAAAACATTAATAAACAGAGTAAAATTATACTTGGAAAAAAATATATATATTGTTCTGTTACAAAATTAAATGTTATTGTGTGGGGTCCAATAGACCCAAAAGACCACGAGTGTCACTATTTATTTCACACCTACATAAAAACAGATAACATTCCATTTAAAAATTTTTTTTTGTAGATCTAGAAAGTGTTGAGAGCCATAGGAAGTTTCATACCATTTGGAAAAAGAGAACTTTTTTTTTTTATTTAAGCAGAAGTCATTTGGGGTCCAATGGATCCCGAAGACCATCAGTGGGTATGCTGACGTCTTTGTACTGGATAAAGTGTGAACATGTGCATCACGTAGACTACAGTACTGTACACAGCCTAACAAACACATTATTGATTTGTTTGCATTCAGAGACTCTGACCAGCTGCAAGAGCCATCAGGAACCGACAGACCAAGGACGGCTTTGACAGAAGAGGCGAAGCAGAGGCTGTCTGAAGAGGTCTGCGACACCATCCTGGCTCACACCAAAGCGAGGTTCTCTTTCACAGGCCACCTTGTGAGTGCTACCTTAGTACAGGGAGATATGTTTGAAAGGCAAAGCTCAAGACGGAACTGTCTCTGATCTATGAGAATCCTGAATTCAAGGCTTGCTGTGGTAAACTGGCACTGTACCAGGTTATCATGAGCTACAACCTCCAGGAGACATTCTCTGAGACTGTGAGTTTGTTGAACATTCTCATAACTACTCCCATGACAACAGCTGAAGCTGAGAGATGTTTCTCAACTTTGAAAAGAATTAAGGCATTCCTGTGAAATTCAATGGGCCAGGAACGTCTGAATGCACTTGTCATGCTCTCCATGGAGAGGGAACTAGTCCTCAAAATGCATGATTTCAATGAGAAAGTCATTGACCACTTTGCTGCACTGAAATAGAGACGAGCAACATTTCAGTACAAGTAATTTAGTCTCTCTCTCTCTCTCTCTCTATCTGTCCCCCACCCCCCTTCCCGTGAGGATGGACACTGGGTTACAGCGGCCCTCACAACCCCCCCCCACCCCCCTTCCCGTGAGGATGGACACTGGGTTACAGCGGCCCTCACAACCCCCCCCACCCCCCTTCCCGTGAGGATGGACAATGGGTTACAGCGGCCCTCACAACCCCCCCCCACCCCTTCCCGTGAGGATGGACACTGGGTTACAGCGCCCTCACAACCCCCCCACCCCCCCCCTTCCCGTGAGGATGGACACTGGGTTACAGCGGCCCTCACAACCCCCCCCCACCCCACCCCCCCTTCCCTTCCCGTGAGGATGGACACTGGGTTACAGCGGCCCTCACAACCCCCCCACCCCTTCCCCTTCCCGTGAGGATGGACACTGGGTTACAGCGGCCCTCACAAACACCTCCCCCCCCCCCCCCCCCCCCTTCCCGTGAGGATGGACACTGGGTTACAGCGGCCATCACAACCCCCCCACCCCCCTTCCCGTGAGGATGGACACTGGGTTACAGCGCCCTCACAACCCCCCCACCCCCCCCCCTTCCCGTGAGGATGGACACTGGGTTACAGCGGCCCTCACAACCCCCCCCCCACCCCACCCCCCCTTCCCTTCCCGTGAGGATGGACACTGGGTTACAGCGGCCCTCACAACCCCCCCACCCCTTCCCCTTCCCGTGAGGATGGACACTGGGTTACAGCGGCCCTCACAAACACCTCCCCCCCCCCCCCCCCCCCCCCTTCCCGTGAGGATGGACACTGGGTTACAGCGGCCCTCACAACCCCCCCACTTCCCGTGAGGATGGACACTGGGTTACAGCGGCCCTCACAAAACCCCCCCACCCCCCCCCCACCCCCCCCCCACCCCCTCTCTCACAACCCCCCCCCCCTCCCCCCCTTCCCGTGAGGATGGACACTGGGTTACAGCGGCCCTCACAACCCCCCCTTCCCGTGAGGATGGACACTGGGTTACAGCGGCCCTCACAAACACCTCACCCCCCCCCCCCCCCCCCCCCCTTCCCGTGAGGATGGACACTGGGTTACAGCGGCCCTCACAACCCCCCCACCCCCCTTCCCGTGAGGATGGACACTGGGTTACAGCGGCCCTCACAACCCCCCCACCCCCCCTTCCCGTGAGGATGGACACTGGGTTACAGCGGCCCTCACAAACATATAATTCCCAATTTCTATTGATGTGTTTGCACTTTTA